CTTATGATAGACCCCCTAAGAAATAGATGGGATGGTAATATTCTCCAAGAAACAAACGCACAAATCCAACTTGTGGAAGAGCACCTTGATTATAAAGCTTCACCTTTCTAACAACTATGAATCAAGAACCTTGACTATAAAAGAATCAAGACCAATAATCTATAGTGAAAGAACAACGATAGCTCTGAACCCACAATTGAAAGAAGTACTTTTCAATTGATAAGTCCCTTAGGAAACACAAAACAGAATTTTGTAATGACCCGTCAAGTGAGGTAACAACCCAACACTATTTTTAATGAAAAATCAAGTTGTTTACAATGAAAAATTCGGTCCCTATTTATAGGAGAAGAGGGAGAACGAATTTAAACTCCTAAAATTATAGAAAAAAAATCTCCCAATCATCCTAATCCTATTTCTAAGGAGATAAGATAGGGATTGACAACTAGGACTCTTATCTACTAAGAATCAAATCTTATCTAATCTACTTTTCCATCTTGGACTCAAATACAATGAGCCAACAAGGAATGAAATATAAAACTCCTGATACAAAGAGATAATCTCCAAAAAGATTCCTTCATGCGATAAGATAGAATCTCCCTTGAGTATCAACTATATCATTATCTTCTTTGTAGAGTGATAATAGCTATCCATCTTGATGCATATCCATCCAATAATGCATTAGACACCAAACTGAAGACTTTTTATTGAAAAAAAATATATCAGCAAACTATGAAATGAAGTAAAATGAAAATTATGCCCTTTTTAGTAAAAAGACAAAAGAGAATAATGAAAGCCTCTTGTTCCCGTTAATCACATCTTCTTTCTCCTATGCCTTTCGCCCATAGGGATTTTCTTGAACATTTTCGGACACCTTATGACGAGAAAGTGGCAAGAGAGTAAAAGATTTACCACCCTTGGTAAATTAGTAACAATTAGTGAATCCATCACGAGACACTTTGTTATCATAAGCCCAAGGCCGACCAAGTAAAACATCCGCAGCATCGATAGGTACTACATCACAAAGCACTTCATCCTTGTACTTCCCAAGAGAAAAATTCAGCAACACTTTCTTTGTAACTTTAATTTGTCCACTATCATTCAACCAAGTCAAATGATATGGATATCGGTGCTTAAGAGTTGGTAGTGCCAAATTCTTAACAAAATAATTACTCACAACATTAGTGCGACTACCACCATCAATAATAATCAAACTCACCGCACCCTTTTGTATGGAAAATATTTTTCCTTTTCTCCTTGTCAACTTCAACATGAGCACTCAATACTTGATTCACAAAACAAGAACCACTTTCAGGTTCAATCACTTCATGATCACTTTCAAGTGAATCATCATCTCCATCGGCTACTTCAACAATTTCCTCTTCATGGATCATCATATTTTTGGTATTTGGACAATCAGAAGCAATGTCCTTTTCCCAAATATTTGAAACAAGTAACCTGTTTGGAAGTGTTATTAGAAGGAGGAAAATTATCAACTTTGGAGACATTACACTTAGATGAATTTGCCTCCTTTTGCTCCCAGCCTTGCCCTTCCAAGAAGAACCAACATCACTCCTCTTTCGGCCATATGGATTTCCCTTTAATTGTCTTTCAACTTTCTCTGCCATTTGGACCACATCTTCTAGATCCACATAGGGTTGAAGATCAACAACTTTTGCAATTTCTAGATTTAGCCCATTCATAAACCTTGAGATGGTTGCTTCTCGAGGCTCTTCTACATTGGCTCTTATGATGGCTAGTTCCATCTCTTTGAATTAGTCCTCAATAGTGTCAGACCCTTGAGGCATGCATTGAAGTTGCCTCCATAGATCTTGCTGATAGTGAGATGGCACAAAGCGCTTCCTTGAGATTGTCTTCATCTCTCACCAAGTAGTGATCGGATCTTCACCGGTCCTTTGCCTAGATTCGAGCAATCGATGCCACCATGTTAATGCGTAACCTTTAAATTCAATAGTTGCTAAGGTTACCTTTTTCTCCTCGGTGTAGTGGTGGAAAGCAAAGATTCTTTCCACGCTCTTCTCCCAATCTAGGTAGGCTTCAGGATCACTTTTCCCATAAAAGATGGGTACCTTGAATTTTATGCCATCCAAATTCCCATCAACCCTTTCTCCATGTGCATCTCAGGTTGTACGGCCACTATCAACTTGATGTTGTGTGTCTTTTTGTTGACAGAGTTGCAAATGCTCCAGTATGTATCTCATGCCCTCTTTTAATAAGGCAAGATCATCTTCTGGGGATGATTTGATTCTTCAGAGGTGCTCAAAGAACTTCCAGGGACACCCTCACCTTTGACTCCCTCGATCCAAGCCCTAATTTCAGCAAGAGAACGAGTAGGTGTTCCCATGTGTTTTTTTTTAAGCGAACAAAAGGATGAAATTTAGGGGAGGAAAAGTCACAAAAATTTGAATAAAATTTGGGTGCAAATTTTCGACAAAACTAAAGAAAAAAATGGAAAAGAAATAAAAAAAATAATAATAATATATCTTCGAGATTTCACCAAAAGCTCTGATAACCAAACTGATGGAAATCAAGAACCAAAATAACAATTATCAAAAATGAAATTTGGCTCTAATGACAAATTGATTGCGACTTATAGTGCAGAAGCATTTAATCTAGAAAAAATTGAAGATTGGTATGGTAATTTGCCCCTTTCAATAGAGGCCTTATGGTAGACCACCTATGAAATAGATAGGATGGTAATATGCTCTAAGAAACCAACGCACAAATCCAACTTGTGGAAGAGCACCTTGATTATAAAGCTTCACGTTTCTAACAACTATGAATCAAAAACCTTGACTATGAAAGAATCAAGACCAATAATCTAGAGTGAAAGAACAACAATAGCTATGAATGCCACAATTGAAAGAAGCACTTTCAATTGATAAGTCCCATAGGAAACACAAAACAGAATTTTGTGATGACCCGTCAAGTGAGGTAACAACCCAACACTATTTTTAATGAAAAATCAAGTAGTTTAAAATGAAGAATTTGGTCCCTATTTATAGGAGAAGAGGGAGCACGAATTTAGACTCCTAAAATGATAGAAAAGAATATCTCAAGCATCCTAATCCCATATCCTAAGGAGATAAGATAGGGATTGACAACTAGGACTCTTATCTACTAATTATCAAATCTTATCTAATCTACCTTTCCATCTTGGACTCAAATACAATGAGCTAATAAGGAATAAAATATAAAAATCCTAATACAAAGAGATAATCTTCAAAAAGATTCCTTCATGCGATAAGATAGAATCTCTCTTGAGTATAAACTCTATCATTATCTTCTTTGTAGAGTGATAATAGTCATCAAATTGAAGACTTATTATTGAAAAAAAAATCAGCAAAACTTGAAATGAAGTAAAATGACAATTATGCCTTTTTTTTAAAAAAAAACAATTTTGCCCCTGGGATTTTCGGCCCTTGTAGAGATTTTCCCAGATTGAACTTCTTATCATGATTCTCACCCTTGATGCTATCAGATTTTCTCAGTGGACATGCAACTCATGTGAAAGACCTCTTCAATCCCTTTTACTTCAGACATTGATTTTGTAGCTTTAAAATCATGAACACATAGCATCATAGAGATTTTTGGTTTAAGATCCTAGATAACCTTTTCAAAAGAAAATTTTTAGTCATATAAAAAATATTATTACACACTTTCCAAAACTCACATAAAATGAAGGAAAGAAGAACAAAACCATTGATTTGAAGCTATTGACGAATCACAAAGAGCTTCATAAAAATACCCTTGTTCTCTCTACCAAACCCTATCTGTGACGACTACGCGCCTTCCTCCCGGCCTCTATGGCCGGCGATCATTTGTCGGCGCTCCCTCCTGAACCGCCGAAGTCCTTTGTAAGCTTTTTCCAAAAGCCAACCAATCCCGGCAATGGTACTAGCTCCCTTATTAAGCAAGTAAAATTCGTCAATGAAACCCCCGCTTTGGAATATGAAGATGATGAACTCAAGAAACTTGTAGCTCCGCATCATTTGAGTCTTGTTGGGAAATTCTCATATGGATGACCAAAAATGGAAGAGGTTCACAAGGAGTTTAAGAAGATCGGATTTAATGGTGGCTATACCTTGGGTCTTATGAACCCTAGGCACATCTTAATTAGATTTGAAGAAGAGGAGAATTACCAACGATGTTGGATCCGGACATTTTGGAATATGCGGGCTTCTCAATGCGAATTTTGAAGTGGAAACTGGGGTTTCGATTTGAAGAAGATCCGCTGGTTCTGCCTGTCTGGGTCTCTCTTTATGATCTCCCCATTGAATATATGCACCCAGAGGTCATCTTTTCCATGGCAACGGCAATAGGGTAACCCTTAAAAGTGGATACTCCAATGCTAAACATGACGAGGCCATCGGTGGCTTGTTTTTGTGTGGAAGTAGATCTTATGAAAAAGTTATCAAAATCTGTTAAGATTAGGAAGAAAGGACAGATGCATGAACAAGAATTTACAAATGAGCATGTTCCCTGTTACTGCTCCAAATGCTGCAAAATCGGTCACAAAGAAATCGATTGCCTCATTGGTAAAGCTCCGCCAAACAATGGTGTTGACGGAGAAGTCAAACAAGCGACTAAGAAAAAGGGTATCAAGTTGCAGTCGCAAAAAGTGAGTTGGGGGCCGAAGCGTAGTGAAAAGAGGTCGGAACTGGAGGTTGAGATTGTGCAAACGCAACCGCTAATCATCAAAGATGTGCAAACGCAATCCTTCACAAAAACAAAAGTAGCACCCCCTGCGGAAACCCTAGGCACACCCCCTACGAAAACCCTAGATGCGCGACCTGCGATAGTCATTGCGGAGGGTTCGAATTTAGGGTTATCGGAGATAGAGAAGAAGAATACTCTCGTGGATGTTCTAGACAGTCCTCTCTTGGCACCAGAACAGATTGACAGTGGCTGACATGACTCAATGTGAACCAGTGAAGTCAACTCCATTGCCACAAACAAACAAGTTCGCGATTTTACAAGATATGGATGATACAAGTGTTGAAACAAACTTGTTGCATGAGAATGAAAACGAAAACCCAACTAAAGAAAAGGATGATGAAATAGAGAATGTGTTTACTGAGGAAATCAATGATAGACAATTGGCACTTTTGGAAAGTAGTGTTGATAATAATCTGGAAGATGATAGTCAACCGAAAGCACTTCACTACCCGGATGACTCTTTTGTGTCAGAGCTAAATGCCACAGATGATGTGGATGATGATTCTCTTGGTGATAGATGGTCAGATGGAGAGAAAGAAGTTGTTGGTTTAGCCAAAAACGCGCAAGGGGAGTTTACAGTTAAAACCAAGTGTGGCCGAAAATCCAAAGAGGAGAGAGCTAAGTTCCTGGAAGGTAAAGAGTTACAGCGTTTACTTCGCCTTCAATAACCCCATCTTTTTTTAATGATAAGTGTCATTTTTTGGAATATAAGAGGTATCGAGTTACATTGTTAGTGATTCTCGAATCAATGCTTTCTCTTAATAAATTGGATGACATAAAAGAGAGCTGAATTTTGATTCTGCTTTTGCTTCAAGTACTAGTAAGATTTGGGTGTTCCATAGTAGTTCATTTATAGTTAATCAGCTTGTAGTTGGTGAGCAATTGATGCATTTTGAAGTTGGATGTGTGCCAGTTTAGAAGACTTTCTTTTGTACCGCTCTATATGCCAAATCAAATAAGGTTGAGAGAAGATCTTTATGGGCTGAGTTGGAAACCTTTAGAAGCTTGCATCTATCACAGCCTTGGATAGTTGGAGGAGATTTCAATGCCATACGTTCTCTTGATGAGTACTCCGGCAGCTCAGTTCAAGATCATGCCGCCATTGATGAATTTAATCAGTGTATTGAAGAGAATAATCTAATGGAAGTGGCTCCTATTGGTGATGATGAATTTACTTGCGGTGGAACGAGAGCCACTAGATGGGTTAGTAAGAAGTTGGATCGTATTCTTTTCTCTCCCGAATGGTTGGATATTTTTCCGAAAGTCTCCATTGAACATTTGAGTCGAACTTCATCCGATCATTGCCCTCTTTTGCTTCAATTTGATGACCAACTTGTGACTCGGCCGAGATGTTTCAGATTCCAAAAATTATGGCTTCGAAGAAGTGATTTCAAGGAGGTTGTTAACGCTAGTTGGTCGCAATCGGTTGGAAATTACGGGATGATGGCCTTCTCCAAAAAGCTTCGACGTCTAAAGCTTGTCCTCAAAGAATGGAATAAAATACAATTTGGAGACATCTTCCAGAATCTGAGAATGGCAGAGGATAAAGTGAGGGAACTGGAAATTGTATATGATCATTCAGGCAATGTGGAAGACAGACAAAACCTAAGCTTGGCCAATGCTACTTTGCTTCAAAAACTTAAAGAACATGATGATTTCTAGAAACTAAAAATGCGTCTGAAATGGCTAAAGGAGGGGAATAATAACACGGCCTGTTTCTATGCCGCTCTTGCCGAAAGAAAAATGAAGATGGGATTACATAAAATTCAAACGGAGGATGGGCATGTCTTAACAGAATTAGAGGATATAGAGAAGGAGGCGGTGACCTTTTTCCAACAACTTCTTACAGAAGAATCTCCACATTTGCAGCAAGATGAGAAGCAGCAATCCTTTTTGCAAAACCTCAAGGATGAATTAAGTTTGGAGGAAAAAGGAATGCTTGTACGGCCTGTCACAATGGATGAGGTGAAATCTGCGACCTTCAACCTTGCTGAGGATAGCGGGCCCGAGATGGATGGTTTTGGGGGCTATTTCTACAAATCATGTTGGGAGATAATTGCAGAGGATCTTTTAACGGCCTGCCAAGACTTTATGAATGGAGTTCCAATTCCTAGAGCCGTTGCAAGTACAGTAATAACCTTAATTCCAAAGAAGGTTTTGGTTAGTACATTTTCAGACTTTCGCCCTATAAGTTTGTGTAACTTTATGAATAAGATCTTTACAAAAATTCTAACCAAAAGATTAAAGATGGTGTTGCCAAAAATTATTTCCAAGGAACAATCTGCTTTTTTGCCGGAAAGGGATATAATTGATAATATTGTTTTGGCACAAGATCTTTGTCAGTTTATAAACCATAAGGCTGTGGGGAATAATGTGGTCATCAAGATTGATATGATGAAGGCATTTGACAGAGTATCTTGGAATTTTTTGGAGAAAGTTCTTCAAGATCTAGGGTTTCCTCTTCAATTCATCTTATTGGTCATGAATAATCTCAGAAAAAGTTGGTTTTTGGTTATGGTAAATGGCTCTCCAACAGTGTTCTTTCAGCCTTCTAGAGGAATAAAACAAGGTGATCCATTATCACCGTATTTATTTATTCTGATAGCTGAGGCAATGTCAAGAAAGCTTAATGACCTTGTCAGAAGGAATAAAGTTACTATTTATGGAACAACTGCGGGTTCAATGAAGGTTTCGCACTTATGTTTTGCTGAAATATTAACAAGGGGTGAAACAAGACCGTTGAAGGAGTTGAACAAATTTTTAAATGATTATGAAATAGCTTCGGTCAAAGAATGAATAGCAGCAAAAATTTCTTCGTTGTGGCTGAGTCATGCAGCGTGCATAGGGTTGAAGCTATAAAAAGGGTTTTGCCAATGTCGAAAGGTTCTTTTCCATTCAAGTATGTGGGCTGCAATTTGTTCCATGGAAGAGGTAAGGCATCCTCCTTTCAATTTCTTTTGGATTCTTTGGATTGAAAGATAGCAAGCTGGAAAAACAAGTTCTTAAGTCCGGGTGGAAGGCTTGTTCTCTTGAGACATGTTCTAACAACCATGCCATTACATGTATTGGCAGCAATATCTCCTCATATATTGGTGTTGAAGGAAATGGAAAGACGGTGCCAAAGGTTTCTTTGGCAGGGTGCGGGTGAGGAAAGAAAACGCCATTGGAGATCATGGGACCGTTTGGCCATTCCGACTTCTGAGAATGGGCTAGGGTTGTGCAAGCTTCAAGATGTGGTCCATGCTTTCTCTTGCAAACTCTGGTGCAAGTTCAAACTGAAAAGTGGCTTGTGGAGCAAGATTATAATGTCTCTTTTGAATACTGCAAGGGATGAAACCACATGGCATCGGATCAAGAATGTTGATATAGAGGCAACAAATTGTTCGAAAGTTCTTGTCAAAGGGGGATGAACCTTTTGGTTTGATAACTGGTTGCCTGATGGTGTTATATGGAATGATCCTAATGCTAATACCCCTTATCATGATCTTAGCATTAAGGATTTTTTGTCTAATAAAGACTTGTATTTGCATGATTTCCAGGATGCTTTAGTGTCGGAAGTTTCTTAAACATTGATGCACTTTGATGAAACCCTAGAGACAGGTCACACCTTTTCTATCAAGTCAGCTTATTTACACCTCAGAAGAGGGGGATTGGAGGATTCTTTATCTAAGAATTTTTGGCATAAGCTGATCCCATTGTGAATATCTTTTTTCATATGGAAGCTTCAAAATCTCCTAGTTCCTTTCCCAGAAATGTTGATCAAGTTTGGAATTCAGGTTAGACCATCTATTTGTCCTTTTTGCAGAACTCGTAAAGATTTGATGGTGCATTGTTTTCTTGAACGCGTAGGGGTCAAGAATATCTGGAAATATTTTTGCAATTTATTTGGAATCTCATGGAGAGAGGAAGCTAGTGTGCTAGATGTTTTGCAAAAATTGTAGAACCGAGGCAATTTTTGTTCAGCACTTAAAGTGTTGATCAAAATCTTTCCATCACTCATTCTTTGGGAGACTTGGAACATGAGGAATAAGATCCTATTTGATGGGGAATCCTTCAACTATAAAAAAGGTGATCTCAGCAATTAAGGTGGAAATTCAGAATGTTTTGTCAATTAATGATTTGAAGGCGCAGAACGTGGAAGAACGACATTTTCTTGAAAACATGTTTGGTTTTCGATTGCAAAAGTTACAAGTTCAAAGTTGTTTTCCTGTCCATTGGAAGGCTCTGGATCATAGTGACTTCATGTTAAACTCTGATGGTTCTTTGCTTGAATCTAATGCATGATATGGTTTCTGTATACAGAAGAGAGATGGGGGTTTTGTATTTGGTGAAAGTGGCTATTTAGGGGTGGGAGATAGCTTTGGTGCTAAGGTTTATGGAGTTCTATTTGGGGCAACAAAATGTGAACAACTTGGTCTTCAAAAGATGGCAATTCAAACCGATAACAAAACTTTGGCCGATCTCTTGGTCAATATGAGGAATTTACCTTGGAAGTATCAGCAGCGGATAATGGAGATTCATCATATTATTAAAAGGCAAGTGTATACAATTCAACACCTATTCAAAGAAGCAAATTCTGTGGTAGATGGTCTAGCTGGAGAAGCATCACTTGGCATTTCAACCAGATACAACATCGTGAGTAATTTGCCTAGATATGTTAGGGGACTTGTTCTCTTAGATCAGGTTTCCTTTCCATATATACACACTCGATGTAAATAGTCCTTTGTACGGTGGTAAGTCTTAAGCACTATCAAGATCTTTGTTTGGTATTTAATAAAATAAGGGAGGGTGGAACTAGGGAACTATATAGTATATATGTTCATCCCTTGGGTAGACCCCTTGGATGGTGGAACTAGGGAACTATATAGTATATATGTTCATCCCTTGGGTAGACCCCTTGGATGCATTATACTATATGGCACTGGCTAGCTTAAAAATTTATCTCTTGGGTATACCCTTTAAGTTTTTTTGAGCTAGTTGGAACTTGAACGACATCCTAACCTTCCTGTTGAGTTAAAAAAAAAAAAAAAACGCATTGATTTGAAGGCTTTGGAATAATTTTCAAGTGTAGACAAAGTTTTTTGATAACTTACAGATCTGCAACAAAAGACAACTAGAATGTATGTTTTAATTTTTGTCGAATTCCTTTGATACATAGTTAGTAAACCTACAACCAAGGGTGCATAAGTCCCCTATATCATCACGAGTCGGTCAATGTCATGTTTTTTATGTAGGAGGTTGTACAAACATAACAGTTTTCTCCTCCACGTATTATATATATATATGTGTGTGTGTGTGTGTGTGTGTGTGTGTGTTATCATTTTTGCTCCACACTATCAATAATGCAACAAAGTTATGTCGCATAGGGAAATATGTCACTTTCAATCTTTCAATCTTTCAACGATCGATGAGACTACAAAGTGACCCAACTCCAAAAGTTTCTAATGAGTAATCAGCTCAGATGGAATATCCGCGGTATCGGAAACAAAGCATCCGTACGTCGCTTAATAAATTTGGTAGAAATGCATGCTATTTCTTTTGTTATTATTTTGGAACCGATGATTCCTTCATCAAAGTTGGAAGAAATAAAGAACCAGCTTAGGTTTGATTCTGGTTACTCGTCAACAACAGGTAAAATTTGGGTTTTAGTTTCGGAAAATTGGACAAT